AATACTGTTAATGCAACTTAATTCAAGAAATGTTTACCAGGCACCTCCTATGTTTAAGGCACTGTAATATAGGTATTACTATAGGTGGCCAGGTGGCAGAGTCCATAGAGCACTGAGCCTCAGGAAGACCCAAATTCAAATATAGTCTCAGACACTTAGTACCTGTATGACCATGGGCAAATCACATAACTATTTACCTCAGTTTCCTAAACTGTAAAATGGGGATATAAAGTACTTGGCAGAGTGCCTGGCACAAAGCAGATGCTATATAAATGCTTCTTCCCTTCCCCCACCTATTACAGAGATAAGGGAACCATTTACCTCTAAAAAGAACTTGCCACCTACAACTTAAGATTGAATTAGCTTTTGGCTGGCAAATCTGTATTAACTTATGTTGGGTTATAGTTTACTAAAAAACCCTAGATGCATTTTGCACAAATTTTTATTTAGCCATATTTTCTTTATCCTGTGCCTGTAGTTTATTTTTTTGACCCAAGTGAAATCCATTGCAGCATACTGCTGGTAGTTTGCCTAATTCCTTTCCCCACTCCAATCCATCTTCCATTCAGCCTCAAAAATGATTTTCCTAAAGTGTAGGTCCAACCACATCATCCTATTCTACAAACTATAGTGGTTCCCTATCACCTCCAGGATCAAATGTAAAATAACTATTTGATATTCAGAGCTGTTTGTAACCCTCCCCTTTCCATTCTTGCCATGTTCTCTTCGATCCAGCAGTAATGGCCTCCTTGTTCATGAACAAGACACTCCATCTGGCCACTTTTTCTGACTGTGCTCCATGCCTGAAATACTCTCCTTTCTTATCTCTGCCTCCTTGTTTTCTTCAAATCCCAACTAAAATTCTATCTTCCACAAGAAGCCTTTCCCAACCCCTCCTAATTCTAGTGTCTTCCTTCTGTTAATTATTTTCTATTTATCCTGTATATAGTATTTGTATACATTTGTTTGTGATCTTCACCATAGAACTGTGAGCTCCTTCAAGGCAGGGATTGTCTTTTGCCTTTTTTTGTACCCCCAGTGCTTACTACAGGGCCTGGAGCATAGAAGGTGCTTAATGTTTATTGACTGATTTTACATTTGCCCCTATTATTTTTCATCTCCATCATCATTTTCAGAATCATTACTGTATACCCATGGACTCCCTCTATGCTTTAACCTCGTATTGTCCTTGCTGCCCCTTTTGAGCTATCAGCCAGTTTTTATTGTCACTAACAAACTTCCAGCTTTTAGCCCACACTTGGTGCCACACACTCCTAATACCATCTAAAGTGGGCTTTTGTCCCAGTACCATGCCATAGAAACTAAACTGTTACAAATCTAATCTAACCTCCCCATTTCTCAATCTTATTCTCAGTTATAATAACTCACTCCTTCCCTTGCTTTTCTGACTTGAACAATCCTGATTCTCTGACCTCTATGTGACATTGTCCTATTTGTCTCTCCTCCATCCTGCATTGCCCTGGTTCTTCAATAACTTAGCTGTTACCTTGGGTGGAACATTTAGTTTGCACTACACAATTTGGCATCTAATTATATTCTTCAGTTGTTTCTGAGATGCTATCATGTGCTTATTTTGTACTGTACTTAATATTTTTACTTCACATATCAGAGGAGCCTAGAGCTTATTTTATTTTTAATCTAATGGGATAATGCCCATAAAGCACTTTGTAAATACCTAAGCGCTCTACAAATGAGAAAGCTCATCTTCTTGTTTGTCCCAACACCTAACAGGACCTTCTAGCTTACTATCCATCATTAAGGGTAAGTTAGTCAAATCTTTCAGAATAATTCCACTCTCATCACTAACTATAGCAGGATAATTTGGGTGGTGCAAATCAGAAATGTATTTAAATATCCCAGCCTGACCCTCAAACTTGACAGTAAACTGCATGCAGGCAGATACCATTCTTCATTTAATCTGTTTCTCCCACAAAGCACAGCAGCTCTGCACAAATAAATATTCATTAAATTAATGTTTTCAAGAACATAATATGTCATATCCTGCCACAGTATTACCTAGTACATACTACTACTCAAATGCTGATTAATAAACAACTTTGCCTTACAACAAGGATAATGTTGGGATGCTCAATTCAGTGTTCATTCATGACCACTGAGATTATTGTTAAAGGTGCCTCATTATTTATGAGTGATTTGGGGATATGCCCTCTGACAGGGTTTAAACAGACTTTCAAATCATTTTATAAGGGACAGCTAGATGGCGCAGTGGATAGAACATGGGCTCTGGATTCAGGAGGACCTGAGTTCAGATCCAGTGCAGACACATAACACTTACTAGCTGTGTGACCCTGGGCAAGTCACTTACCCCACGGCCTAATTTTTTAAAAAAATCATTTTATAGAAGCCAACTGTAACAAAAATTTGTGCAGATGTAAGGAGTTGAATAAGAATTGTTTTCATAGTCAGTGAAATTCCTTGAGATATCCCTTCGCTTTAATAAATTAATCTGGAATTAGGATATATTTTGATTCCATAAAGAGATCATACTCAAAGTACTGGCTCCTCATTATTTCCAGACACCAAAGAGGAAGACTGTCAACACTTGGCAATGAAAGAATTCAGAATATAAAAGCTAACAGGATTCTATAGTCTACTGTTATCAGCTGAATATATCAGAAGACATCATCTTAATAGTCTTGACAAAATCCAAACAGTTCTAGACAGTAGTTCAAAATAATTTTTTTCATAAACACCTATTATCAATCTTATGTTTTATAGGTGGACAATATGTTGGTTACAGCTTATTTTTGAGGATTTTTTAAAAAAACATGTAATGAAAGGTAAAAACTAACAGACATTTATTAAGTGGTTTACAAACAATTGCAAGTGCTGTCAATTATTCCACGTTTATAAAACATTCATGTTAAGTAAAGTGCTGCAAAGGATACTTTCATTAACAAGACATTTTGCAACCTCCTAAATTTCTGGTTATCTGGATATATGGAGTCTACAGGTGATTAATATGGTACAATCACATTAAACTTGAATTGACACTAAGGTATCTGTCACAGTGTTTGGTTCATAGACTTTAGTCTGAATAGACTGACTGACTTCTGTGGGTTCTCCTTAGCCTAAGGTTTTTCTTATTCAGTTAAGAGTGAATAATGAACCCAAACTAAATAAAAATTGATTTTAATATTTTATAAAATTCTGCTCAATTACAACAAATTGTCACTTAACCTTCCTTCATAAACATTTAAAAAATAAAACCAGGTCAGTACATGAAAGTATGCATTTGTGCAAAACCATGAAAATCTTACCAGTTTTCATTTGAGTGGGCACTTGCATGTTGCTTTTATTTTAATGCTCAAAGGAAGACATCATAAATTACGCTGTGAAATAATAATAATACCTTAGTTTTTATACAGCTTCTTTTGTCTAAGGAATTAACTTTCTTGTTTGCTCTCACAATATCATGGTGAGGTAGAGTAGAAAGAAGTACAAGAATCCTCATTTTATGGAAGGAGAAACTGAGGCATATGGGCAGTTAATTGATTTACTTCAGGCCATAATACTAGAACCAGAACCCAGAGTTGCTTTTTCCCATCTAGCTTAGGCCAGACTAACACAGTAGTGGAAAGGAAGGATAGGAATGCATAAATATCTAATTCTTGGACCTTCTAGCATTACCATCTATCATTAAATGGTAGTTTAGTCAAATCTTCCAGAATAATTCCACTCTTACCACTAACTATAGCAGGATAATTTGAGTGGTCCAAATCAGAAACGTATTTAAAATATCCTTGCCTGACCCTCAAACTTGACAGTAAACTGCATGCAGGCAGATATTATTCCTAATTTAATCTGTTTCTCCCACAGTGTCGAGCACAGCAGCTCTGCACAAATGTTGGGAAAAATGTTAACATTAAGCACAAACTTTTTTTTTTTTTGGCTAGGCAGTGGGGTTAAGTGACTTGCCCAGGGTCACACAGCTAGTAAGTGTTATGTGTCAGAGGCCAGATTTGAACTCAGGTCCTCCTGAATCCAGGGCCGATGCTCTATCTACTGCACCACCTAGCTGCCCTAAGCACAAACTTCTTAAACAAATGGTGCTTAATATGAATGTTGAAGTTGCTTAAGTTGCTTTATTTCTCTTAGACTAATATCTTATTTTTAAAACTAAAGACAAATTTGACATTATTCTGGGATGTGATACTTTTTTTATACCAAAATTTAATTTCATAAAAAAACATTGCTTTCCCCCTTCTCTTGTTACATGGCTGTAAGACAGATGTTTCTTTATTAATTGAATAAGCATTTATTAAGTGCCTAACTTTCAAGGCTCTGTGCTGGACACCGGGGAGACAAAGATCAAAAGAAAAAAAAAAACAGGTCCTGCCCTCAAAGGAGCTTACATTCTACTTTCTGGGCCTCAATTTCTTTATCTGTAAAATGAAGGGATTGGATTAGATGACTTCTAATGTCTTTCAGCTCTAATAGTCTATGATTCTAAAAAGGTTTGTTGGGGGAGAATCTATTTTTAAGCTAAAAAGGACAAGGGAGAAACAAAGGCCTTTCAAAATGGGAAAACAGTCTTTTCTTCAAGGGCCAATTTGACCTTCCAACACAGTAAACCTCCACTTCTCTAGTATATAATCACCTATACTGTATTATTACACACTTTTACTCAGAATGTTCTGCATGAAATTAGAGAACAATTACTCTAATACATTTAGCATTGAAAAGGTACACCTGGTTCACTTTGACTGAATTCTTTTTGATTTGATAGGAGATTTTAAAACATTTTTAAAGAGATACAGGGGAAAGATACAATGCCATAGTATGTTCTTGTGATAAAGCATGTGTAGCTAGATCACTATGGGGAAACTGCTTTTTTTTTTTTCAGTGTGCCAGATGACACACACAAATTCCCAAACACAAGGGCAAATGCACAATTGATTTACAACTATATCTCAAAACCAGAAACAGGATTATATACAAAAAGCCTTGACAACTACTCCTTTCATTATATGTTTCTTGGTTTAATTAATGTTTTGAGAAGAGTTATGCTTTGTTGGATACAGTATAATCACATTTATTTTTGAGCAAATAGCATTAAAGTGCACACTTGCTTACAATGCCACTGTTTAAAGAAAGCTAGTATGTCTGATCTACTATACTTGCAATCCTGGTAACACCTTTTACCAAGCCAACTCCCACCCCACCCTAAGCCCCTTTTAATTTATATATTTTTAAATATCTGACCCTCTAACCTTTCATTGTTTATCCATCACACAGGTCAACTCTTGACAATCTTCTGTTAGGCTTGTCCTCTTTATACTTTTATGACTACCTGGATTGTCTTACAGGTACACTAAGGGGGGAGGGGAAAACCTGTATTTTTTTCTCAACTGAGAAACTGAAATGGCTTATATGTTTGGACTTCCTGGACAAAAATGTTTTTACAAGGAAGCACACATGAAGAAAGAAGCTGGAAACTATTTCTTCATGTCCAGAAACTTTCATTGAATGGAATTAGGACATGTTTCCCCAAAACCACACAATTTGTCTAACAAATAATTTTCCTTTGTTCCAGAATGGGCAAGATAACAAAGGCACAGACTCACTTTGTACCAAAAAGGACAAGTAAACACAGCCACTAGGCACCTACAGACACAAAAGCACAGCAATAACAAATACAAAATGTCAAAAGTCTTATGTAATTTTTCTCCCTACAATATTTGGCAAATTCAGTCTAGATTTTCAATACCTCAGAAAGAAAAAAAATAAATAAGGTACACTACATTAAAACATAGGATTACCTAGAATTTGTCTTTAGGAAGATAAGGCAGGTAAACAAAAGAAAAGGAGAGAAAAATAGGCTTCCTATATGCTGGGATTATCCTTCCTTTCTGAGGGTCCCAGGTGACCATGTTCATCTTTTAAAATGCCAGCTATAGTAGGTTTTATTGTAATAGCCGACATGGTCCCTCAACCCTTCTCAGTTTCACATTAATAAATTGGCTTAATGTCTTTTTTTGTTCCTTAATAACAAATATGTCCCTTATAACAAATTTAGTTATTTAAAGATTATCCACAAAGTTTTTGTAATATTTTGATAGATAAAATCTATTCCAGAACCCAAATCATCAAGAGATTACATGTGTAGACTTAAAATGACTAATAAATACATTTCCAAACGAAGTGAATTGCTCTCTTGCCTAAAACTACCCAGACCAGGGGTATGAGACTAGAGAATTCTGCTGGGCTGCTGACGTTCACAAACCACAGCACAGACTGGAGAGCTCCACAGTTTTAGGGGCTACTGTTTCATCAGCTCATGTAGGAGATAAATATATCTTCAGCCTATATCTGTGTAGGAAGAAGGCCTGTTTATGTTCAACATCAGCACTCACAAAATCCCCATCACAAGCACTTGATAAACAGAAAACAAAATACAACAGAAATTGTCTGTTTACATCATGATCAGCATCTGCATGACATAGCAATACTTGCTTTTTGATGGCAGTCGACTTAGGAGCGGGCCACTTTACAAATCTATAAGCCTAGAACTGCAGAAATAACCTGGAAACATATCAGCCTATCCAAAGAGTTTAAAATAATGGCTTATGTAAAATCATTTTATTTTCCTACTTAATTCCTTTTGATAGTGCTAAGTTCTTAAAGAAAAAAAGATGGGAACATTTTTTAACATCAAATTTTAAAATCTTTCAAAATACTAGGGGGAAAGGATAGCATAAAGCTGTTTATATTATGTTTGCAACACCTGTCTTTTCTGTGCTACAGTAAACTGCTTTGCAGGCTTGAAAAATGAAGTATGATAAAAAGAATAGAGAATACTTGGGGAGTTAGAGAACTCTAAAATTTTACCTTTTCCTTTTAAAGAAAAATCTGCTAACATTCCTCTCTGATAACACAATGGATACAGAATTTGCTTCCATGCTAATAAGTCAAGGTATAATGATCAGAAACATTAAATTTTCAGTGTCAGCTGATATATATCCAGTTAATCCACTGCAGAAGGGAAAATAGGACAACAAATCTAAAGTAATAGTTAAAGCTCACAGCTCATATAATTTTCTTTTTTTTTCTTTTTGTTTGTTTTAAATTTTTTTTGTGGTTTATTTCTGCTCTGTTGCAACCTCTGATTCCCAAGTTAATGGCCTCCCAGCAGATTTGAAAGGAAGCCTGAAGATTTCTTTTGTTGTGGTTCTGCATCCTGGTCTTGCGTAAGTCCCAGTTCACTCTCGATTTGATCGAGCTCTGACTGGTCTAGCAGTTCAAAATCATCACCTTCTTCTGTGTCTGTGTCTTCCCCTGGGCTAGGTGCAGGCTGGGAAGATGCTCTCTGCACTCCCTGCTGCAACTGGTCTTTGATGGCAGCAGACATTGCAGCTACAATGACATCACCAGCAAGATTACCCATCAAGTGAATGGTTTGGTCACTGCTCAGAGGAAGGGTGAGACCAACTGCTGACTGCCTCTCTTTGCTCTGTTTGTGGCCACTATCCATCTGCTCTTTTTTTTCTCTTGTACTGGATGGGTAAACCAAGGCTCAACTCATCTTCATCATTTGTTCCCGTGCCATTTTCTAGAGATGGAAATTCTGAAAGATCTCTAGAGAATGCTTCCTCCTGTTCACTGGGTCGGTCGAGATCTATGAGATAATTAAGATAAACATATAAGAAATCTGAAATAAAATTCTTCAATGTAAAGGATGGTTTATTTTAGTCTGAATTCTCAGGCAGTCTATAAAATGGACAGCTTTTTCTGCATCACCATGAACCAGCGGAGATCTGAGACTGAAATGGATTTCCTAGGTAAAATGAAGATTGAACCTTCTTCCTCTACCAGTTTTCCAAAATCTGCTGACTCAGAGGCCTAGGACAGCACAAAGTAGATAAAGCTAAGCGACATGGTATACGCGTAACCTATAATCAACTGTATATGTTGTGGCACACACTGAACAGCTGGCCACGTAAGGAGGGCTCTATGGGAATTCACTTCATCATTTTCCACCCAGCTCCTTTCCTGGACTACTTATCTCCAAAACTCATCATTCTGCAAGATGAAATCAACCCTGAAACTTCCCCCATTGGATTGTGAACTCCTTGAGGGCAAGGACTGTCTTATGCCTTTTTTTGTATCCCTAGAAGAACAGTGCTTGGCACATAATAGGCGCTTAATAAATTTTTCCTGATTCTGAAAGAGAAGCTAAGTAACTTTTGCAGGTCACAGATCAGTAAATATCTGAGGCAAGAGTTGAACCTCGTTCTTCCTGATTCAAGTCCAAGGCACTACCCCACTACACCCTGAGCTGCTGGTGAAGCACAAACCCTGGCAAGTCCTAGCAGGCTAGACAGTCTTCAAATAAAGCCCAAAGGTCGACTATTCTGCACGAGGACTAGCACAGCTAAGCACAGGCAGACTCCTCATCCAAGGATTGGCCAGTAGGTGAAAATTGTTTTTCCCTGTAGGAACGCAACACAGCTAGATGGCTCCATGGCTAGAGCACTGAACCTGGAGTCAGGAAGATCCAAGTTCAGATCCTACATCTGACACTGATTAGCTATGTGACCTAAGGCAAGTCACCTAACCTGCCTGCCTCAGTTTCCTCACCTGTAAAATGGGGGTGATGATAATAATAGCACCTACCCTCCAGGGTTGCTGTGAGAATAAAAAAAATGTTAAGGCACTATATAAATGCTCTATTATTATTGTTAGTGTTATTATTAACCAAAGTATACAATGATTCTGATCTACATTCAGGGAATAAAGACTAATAACTAATAAAATCACAGTTTCTTGAAGGATCAAAATAAATGTTATTTGAAGGGGTGATTTTTCTACCAGGTTTTCTGTACCTCTCCAAAATGGTTCAATACACTAATGGATATCTTTACTATAGGTGGTACAAATGGATAGAGTGCTAGACTTGGATTTAGGAAGACCTGAGTGTCCATCCTGTCTCAGGCACTTACTAGCTGTGTGTTCCTGGGCAAGTCACTTAAGCTTTCTCAACTTTAGTTTCCTAATCTGTAAGTACTCCTTAAATCCTACCTAACAAGGTTGTTGTGGAAATCAAATGAGATAATATGTATATATATAAAAGGCTTTACAAACATTAGAAGCACTACATAAATGATTATCATATATTCCCCCTGCCCCACTTAACCAAGTGCTAGCACTACCAAACATTCATTTTTGTAACCATTTTTAAGCCTCTGAAGATCTTTTCCCTCTTTTCTCAGTACAGTACCACAGGGCAAAGAGCTACTTTATTTTATACTTCAAAATAAGACCTCAGTCCTTGGAAGATTTGTATATATTCAACAATCCACAACAGAACTGCCTGGAAGGTTAGCAGTCATCTGGTACCTTGCATTTTACATATGACAAAGCACCTGAGGCCCAGAAGTTGGTGAGATAAGTGACAGGCCTGAGATCACACAAACAGCCAGAAGTGAGACAGAGCCCTGGGCTCCTGAGACTCAAGCCACTGTTGTCTAGACTAGTACCTTCCTCATTCATTCATTAATTATGCATTTTTCTTCCTTGTAAAATACACTGAAAATGGAAGACACTGATTTTTCTGAGGAGCTGGTTTTTACTGTGCTTCTACTTCTACTATTTGGATTTGTAATTTGTAATAGAAATAGAAATTCCTCCCCCTCCACTGATGGAGATCCACAGCTTCTCTGTAACTGGGTAGATAATCTTCAGTAATTGCTGTGGTTAAAAAAAAAAAATCAGTCCATAGTCCTGCAGCCATCAAGTAATGAACTTCCCCAAACTTGGTCAGGCTGTTTCCTAATAGGCTTGTATTCAAAACCTTCCTAGTTTGCTAAGACCTGACAGAGCCAGTGCTCCTTTTGCACAGCCTTAGAGAATCTGAGGGTCACCCCCATGCCTTGATGTCCAGTTATCAAAGCACATACAGTAAGCAATCACAGGTCAGGCGAAGCTAGGAGTAATACTGTTAAGATTCTCCTCTAGGTTTTAGTGATGGTCTTGGAGGGCAGATATTAAAGAAAACTGTGTTATACTGATCTAAATGGATTTATCCAAAACTTATACAATCTGTTATATTGAATTTATACAAAAAATTAAATCTTTCATATTTTGTATGAGGATATGCAAAAAAAGAGAGGGGAGGAAGGAGTCACTTACCATAACTCACTACCTTCAGCTGTCTCTCTCAGATATTAAGTGAGGGAAGATAGTTCCTGAATATAGGCAGTGTGGTTCACAGAGTAGTAGATACAAAAGTATCAGGATTTGAAGTCAAAAGGACCTAATTTCAAATCCTACCTGTTCCTAGTATCCTATATCACAGTGGGGAAACCTAGGCTTGTTTCTCCATCTTTAAAATGAAAGGGTTGGCCAATAGATTCTATGTTCAAGCTCAAAATGTATGATCCTCTAAGAGATCTACCCCATATACAAATGTTACAACAAAAGAGTAAGTATTTTTGCATAATGTTTCAATAACAATTTAGGCTGTCAAAAAGCAATGGCATCCATTACATTAAGAGACAGCTAGGTGGCATAGTAAATAGAGTGCCAGGCCTGGAGTCAGAAGAACCTGATTTCAAATCCAGCCTCAGCCACTAAACTAACTAGCCGTGTGACCCTGGGTGAGTCACTTAACCTCTCTTTGCTTCAGTTTTCTCAGCAATAAAATGGGGAATGATAAAAGCACCTACCTCCCAGGGTTGTTGCAAGGATCAAATGAAATATTTTTAAAGCACTTAGCACAGTGCCTGTAGTGGGCACTATATAAATGTTACCATCCTCACCGTCATCATCACTGTTAAAGTTACATACCATCAGAAGTGTCCGTCTGTGGAGTACATCCTTCAGATAGATTGAAGGTCCCATTATCAGTCCAAGATACCTCTGATATGTCTGTGTCAGACACAGATAGCTCTTTGGCAACAGTTGTAAGGCTAACCTGTGACAAATTAGAAAAGTCAAATATTAAATTTGTACTCCAACCATCTCTCCTTGCACAAACTAACAAAAAACAGTTGTGAGATAAAAATGACAGATAATTCAACAAATGTGTGTTTTCCTTATGGAGTTAATCACTCTCAGAAATGCTGAAATTCAACCATAATGAACATCCAGCTTTGTTGTAGGTAAGTGAATTTACAGTCAAACTCAAAAGAGAACAACTGAAAATTAAACACAAAGTACCTTAGGACAGAGGGCTGAAAAGTCTAATTCACTGTCATCTTTGTGACTTTTTTCTTTATCTGCCTCTGTTGAGAAAGAAAATGTATATATATAAGCTTTCAGTTTCCTAGCTTTTCTGCAAGTACCACATCTTGCCTACCATGGCTTCCTCTTCATGCCCATCCCACATTTTTCAAATTCTCAAACACTTCCAAATCTTGAATGTTTTCACAGCAGGAACCTCATTTATGAGCAGAATGAATTATTTATACAGGGAACTATCATTGTCTCAGAGAAGCTGAGAGGGAAGTCAAGTTTTCCTACTTTTCTTTCCATCCCTCCCCCTTGTTATAATTATTCTCTATTCCCACCATCATTCTTTTCCACCTTATTTCTTCCCTAGGCTTTCTCAACTGCATAATATCAATATGCCATTCTCAAATTAATGAAACTTAAACTAAGGAATTTAATTAGAAATAACAAAATATAAAATGTTTCACCATCAAAGTGTCCCCAATTTTAAACTCATTTATTCAATAAATGTAAAGTGATGGATGAAACATTTGGGGAGTAAGAGGGATATATAAAAACAAATAGTCCACAAGAAGCTTGCTCTACTGAGAATTTAGATAAAAAATATCCTTAAAGGTTTCTAATTGAAATAAAATGTGTCTTTTTCTTTTGGCAAAGCAATCAGGGTTAAGTGACTTGCACAGGGTCACACAGCTAATGAGTATCATGTGTCTGGATTTGAACCCTCCTGACTCCAGGGCCAGTGCTCTATGCACTGCGCCAACCTAGTTGCCCCTAAAAATGGTCTTTGTGGTTTTTTTTGAAGCAGTAGAAACAGTGGAAGTAAACTGAATTTGACAATGATTCATGTAAGTATGCCTCATATTTTGTATGTGGAACCTACATTTCAAATCTTACTTACCAGATCTCTCTCGCCGCTTTTGGTTAATATATTCTCCTATTCCAAAATCTAGTTTCAGCAGAAATGACTTGATCTTGCTGTATACTCTTTGTCCAAATTCATTGCACTTAAATAATGGACACAAAAAGGCACAGAGTACTAAAAGAAAGAAAAGGGACAGAAAGTATTTATTTTCAAGGGCTCAGAATTCTAGAGAAAAAAAAAGGTACCAAGTGTCCCTTACTGTCAAATAAGTGTTTATTTCTTAGGAAAAGTACTGTGCAGTAGACAGAATAGAAATTGTGAACACAAAATAACGAACTGATTTCACAAACAAGGCAGCCTTTCAGTTTCCCTCTATCATCTTCATCATCACCATCGTTGCCACAGACAACTTTAACAATAAGCCTTGTTCAAAAGCTGGCGGTAAACCAGAGTTCTATCCATTCGTGACCTTGCAACCTGAAAGCCAAAGGACTTGTACGTGGGTGACTTCATTTTCAGGGAAAATAAATTTCAGAGATTCAGTATGATATGCTGGAAAGAAGACAGGAATTGGGATCAAATGACCAGGGATGTAGTTGCAGCTCTGCCCCTTAACAGTCCCTTAGTTTCTTCATTGATAAAATGAGATATGTTGGCAGAGTGGATGTTCAACCTTGATCTAGTAGTACCTCTTATGAAACCATCAATCAACAAGTATTTTATTAGGCACTCAGTGCTAGGCACATAATGCTATGTGTTGGGAATTTTTTTTTAAAGCAAAAGCAGTCCTTGCCTTCAAGGAGCTTACATCTAATAGGAGAGAAAACATGTATAAATCAGGACATAGGAAGTAAATTTGGAAGTTGGAAGGGTAACCCTGGAAGGGACAATAGGAGCAGCGGCAGGAGGCTTTAGCAAACGCCTCCTGGAGGAGGGGCACTCAAGCAAGCTGAATCTTAAAGGAAGCCAGAGATTCTCATAGAGAATTATATTTACCACAATTATATTTATTATACTACAAATACAGAAGAAATCAAACAAAGATAAGAGGGTACACTTACATACAAAGTAGGAGAGTATGACTCCAGGAATGTAACTTCCTAAGACTGTAAAAAACGTGCACACGCTGCAGACCAGGAGGCAAAACTACAAGTTGAACCAAAAAAAAAAAAGCTGACATTCAGTATTCTTATAATGAAGATATTTCATTATTGCTGCATAAACACCACCTTCAAAATTATTTTTATAAGTTGTTGTGGATTTTAAAAACAACTAGTTAAACTTACATTTATAATTAATTCAAGTAAAAAAACCCTTAAACTTAGGGATATCCCTCACAATTATTCTTACCCCCTTTGTATCACCTTTCATTGTGTTTTTTCATCTACTCCTGAACTTTCGTTTATTTCTTTCTATTGTGTTATAATGAATATGATGAATGCATATGATGCTCTAGTTTGGCTTTCTTGACTTTGTATTATCTTACATGACCTTCTAAAATTCCTTATACTCTTTATATTTGCCATTCTTGATCACATACTTTATATTATATGCATATTATAATTTTTGGAGGGAAAGGGGAAGAAAGAAATTAGTTTTATTTTCCCACAGCAGTAGCCAAAGGAGAATCATGCAGAATTCATAAAGTGCTTTATGGCTTATATCGTTGGAACATAACAAATGATTTTTAAAATTAGGAAGCTGTTCCTTGGTCTGGGTTACAAGAAATCTCAAATTCAGAATATAAGCATGCCTGACTTTATACTGATACAATATAGCATCCATACCTCTCTAAAACCCTTTTTATAAAAACATAATATTCATTTATATGATACTTTTAGCCTTTATAAGATCCTTTTCTCAGTGAGATAGATTGTTCAAGCATTATTATTCCTAATTTAGAGCTGTGGAAGAGTGGCTCACCCAGGGCAACCTAAACTAGTGTACTGGCAGAACTAGGATTTAAATCCAGGTTGTCTGCCTCTAATTTAAATGTTTTTCTCAGCATAGTATATATTCTTTATAGCCTATTCAGAATTAATGAATCTCTGCAACCTGATATAAGTGAGGCCATTTATTTCCAAATCTGTTGGATGCCATAACAAATGTAATGATTCCCACGTAAAATGAAACTTGCCTTGCCAGGGTTCTGCTGCTTAAAGAGTGTCATTTCTTGAAGAAATAAGCTGAAGTTCATCCATGATTCTGCAATACACTGGCTGAGTCTGGGCTTTTCATCGGCTTTGGAATTTACCACTTCCCAGCTAAAACAGAGAGAAAGAAAACATATCATAACACCAGATAACTGATAATAATACTTAAAGGAATTTCATCTGGAATTTAATATCAAACAATCAAAGTGTGAAAGTCCACAGTGGATTTAATGTTGGTCGTCAACTTTACAGAAAATTTTGAAAACTGAGGCTGAGTAGCCAAGTACTACACACAGCCTCTCTTTCCACCCTAAATTCGTATATACAGTACTTGGAAAGTGAAAACTAATTTGAGTATTAACCTAAGAAAGTATTACAAGGATAATAAACTGGATAAGCAAAATAATATATTTCAAAGTGCAACAAGAGGAAACTTCTGAGGCACAGTCTGTTGAATGTCAGAAGCTTCTAGACTGTTCAGTTTGACCATATTTTTACTTCCTTTTTAAAATTCTCAATGATTATCAAGTTAATACACTTTTCCCATATCAAACTGATGCACCCAGTGAGCAAAGGAAAATAAATGGGGAAAAAAGAAGAATCATATATTCAAATCTATTAAAGTTCTCAATAGACATATAGCTTTCATAGTTTATTTAGAGAATAATAGTTCATATTTTGGGGGTAATTTAGAATATCATCACAATATCCTTCTTAACATGGACTATAACATCCAAGAGAGCTCTTTTTCGTTAGTAACTTACTGCTGTCAACAAAAGTTCCTAGACAAGATTAAAAATGGATTCATTTATTTTGTTTGATCTCTGGACTCTCCTAACTTATTGACCCTTAAGACCCCTGCTCCCTGCCAATGCCTGATATTACTTATGCATATTTTAAATATGTCCAATAAGACTCTTACCATATTAATACATCATTTTCCCTAGGAAAAACATTTTTCCCTGGTAATTATTTTCTGAACTTGTATTTTAATTCCTGTTGTTACAGCATAGTGATAGAAGCAGATAAGCTATGTATTGCTAAATAAAAACTACATAAATGGGTCGTCATTAAATGCTTGAATCTAACACCTTGAATATTCTGTTATATTTCTGTATGTAATCAGGTTTACATTATATGAGCTAGGGGTTCTTTTCTCTCTCCCTTTCTCCCACCTTCCTTCCTCTGATATTTATTAAGTAATTATTACATTCTAGACACTGAGGGAAATACAAAGATGAAAAAGGCACAAGGTTCTGATCTCAAGCAATTTACAATCTGATAAGTGATAAGATGTATACAAATAAATAACACACACAGAATATAAGCACATATAAGAAGTACAAAGTGCCATGAGATTAAGCATTGTTGATACTGTCTGTAAAGGTATATTTGAAAATAATTAAATGTAGTCAACGTGGAAAAATTCCAAAACTGGGAAATGGAAGAAAGGAGTCTGGTCTTGGTTCTGTCATAAATTAGCTATGAAACTCTGGATAAAATATCAAGCTTTTTGTATCTCAGTTTTTTCATATATAAAATAAGAATGCTGAAGCAAAAATAATGTTTGAAGTATCACTCTATGCTAAAATTCTCTGGTTCTAAATAACATCAGCCATCCCATTAGACAGCACTATCTTCCTTCCCCCCACCCACACCTGTCGTCTTTCCTAGTATCAGTTGAGCGTTCCACTTTTAGAGATAAACTTTCTAGGAAAAATGGTTACCTCATTCCTAGAATCCAAAGTCAGAAAGGAAATTTATGTTCATGATTATTTGATGTTTGGAGTACATTATAGGTGACATGTGCACGATACATATAGTTGCTTAGAATATTAGATTGTAGGCTTTCCTAGAAAGTCCTTTCCTGAAAACATTTAAGTAAGAGAAAGAAGCCCGTGTGAATACTAGACTAATCCATAGAAGACAGATCTTTTACATGGAGTATGGCTCCCTTCCCATCATCCTTGGAAGTAAGATCACATACAGCATAAGAGATTGAAAGGATTGAAATATATATATGACCTTTAAAAAAAAAAGTTAGGTTGCTACAGCTTCTTTTTATTAATAAGACAGAATTCTTCCATTATTACATCCAAAAGCTAAAGAGGTTATTAATGGCTTTAATAATGATCCAATGATTCCAATATTTATTATTACTTTCCTATTTAGTTTTAGGATAACTACTACTTTCTTGCCTTCACTCAGTTTAAGATTAGGAGAGAACAGCTAACTTCCTCAAGAAGCCATGCTGCCCATAGCTAAATAGACAATAACTTAATGTTTCCCTTCTCCAGTGCTGAAAATATTAGGCAAAACACTATGCAAGTACCCATTTCTGGAGTGTAAGTCACAGAGAATTCTGATGAAAATGACCTCAGCCCCTTATCTGGTCATGCATGAATGTGAAGCTTTCTCTAAAACCAAACCTGAGGATGTATAAAATTTTATCAGATATTTCAAAGGAAGGTCTCCATGAATAAGATTAGGATAGCTCTACAAATGACCATACCCATGAGCCATAGTGAAGTACGCATCCCTTAGTGGTTGAACTTGGGAACGGGGGAAGATCATACTAGTATGAAAAGCTAAAAGAGGAAAGGAATAATAACAGCCTACACTTGTATATAGTGAAATGACTTGCCTAAAGTCAATACAAGTAGTATTAAATAGCAAAACCAGGACTGGAATTCACATCTGGCTTCCAGTCCTGGCTCTGACACTTAACTTAATTAGAGAGACAGTATGATATAATGGAAGAATCATAGAACCCAGACTCATATTTCAGTTCTATTACTTACTCCCTCAGGGACCTCAGGCAATTCACTTTTTCCTCTCTGGGCCTCATTTTCCTTCTTTGTAAAATGTGGGAGCTGGTTTGCATGACCTTTAAGGTTCATTTCAACTCTAAATCTACAACTATGGAAATCCACTGTGAGATACTAGTCAACTGATATAATAGTATACAGGGTCACAGAAATGGAAGAGACCTTCTTAAGTCATCTAACTCTAAACTAAACGTTTTTCATATAGATAATAATATAACAATTAGCAGAGATACTATTTGTAGTAGGTCCTCTGACTCACATCCTGTACACCTTCTACAGTATCTACCTCACTGCCTCCCTAATAAGCATAAATAGGAGGATTCAGAATCTAGGTCTTTCCATTACATCATGTTGCTTTCCATGAGAAACAAAAATCCTCTAGAGACAATGTATCATTTTGGCAATGGAGAATTTTCTCTTATTTTTCCCTGAGTAGAATTTTATGCCCTAAACCTTTTCCCTAACCTCCTACCACCCCACAGTGTGTCCAGTTCTTATATGCTTTGATCCAGTGATACTGGCCTCCTGGCTGTTCCATGAACAAGACATTCCATCCCTCAACTCCAACATTTCCTCTGGCTGTCCTCTATGCCTGATATGCTGTCCCTCTTCTGCTCAAACTACTGGACTCCCTGGTTTCCTTTAGTTCCCGACTAAAATCCCAACTTCTACAGGAAGCCTTTCCCAACCCCTCTTAATTCCACCAATGCCTTCACTTTGTTAATTACTTTTTTAAATTAATTTACTTATTTTTAGTTTTCAACATTCACTTCCATAATATTTTGAGTTTTAAATTTTCTCCCTCTCTCACTCCCCCCCCCACCAAGATTGTCTGCAATCTAATATAGGCTCTACTTATACATTCATATTAAGCATATTTTCCCATTGGTCATGATGTAAAGAACGATTAGAACCAATGGGAGCAAACAGACTTCAGAAAAACCTGGAAAGACTTGTATTGACCGATCCTGAGTGAAGTGAGCAGAATCAGGAGAACATCATACACAGTAACAGCCACGTTGGGCTATAACTAACTTTGATAGACTTAGGTGTTCTCAGCAATGCAAGGATCTAAGACATCTCCAAAAGTCTCATGATGGAAAATGTTATCCACATCCAGAGAAAGAACTAAGGAGTTTGAATGCAGATCGAAGCATACTATTTGCTATTTTTTTCTTCTGTTTTGTTTTGTTTCTTCTTTCTTGTGGTTCCTCTTATGGGTTCTAATTCTTCTTTACAGCATGACTAATGTGAAAATATGTTTAATAAGAATGTCAATGTAGAGCTTATATCAGATGTAATGCTGTCTAGGGGAGGGAGGCAGGGAAGGAGGGGGAAAAATTTAAAACTCAAAAACTTTTGGAAGTGATTGTTGAAAACTAAAAATAAATAAATAAGTTTTTTTAAAAAGAACTAATGGGAGGACAATAAAGCAATAAAACAAAACAAGAAAGGAATAGGAGAGCAAGTAGTATGCTTCCATCTGCATTCAGACTCCATAGTTCTTTCTCTGGGTATGGATAGCAATTTCCATCGAGAGTCTTCTGGAGTTGTCTTAGATCCTTATATTGCTATGAAGAGCCAAGTCTATCAAAGTCAGTCATCCACAATGTGGCTGTTACTGTGTATAATGTTCTCCTGGTTCTCCTCACTTCACTCAGCTTCAGTTCATATAAGTCTTTCCAGGTTTTTCTGAAGTCTGCCTGCTCATCATTTCTTACAGCACAATAGTATTCCATTACATTCATATACCACAACCTGTTCAGCCATTCCGCAATTGATGGGCATCCCCTCAATTTCCAATTCTTTGCCACCACAAAAAGAGCTGCTATAAATATTTTTCCCATTTTTATGATCTTTTGGGATACAGACCTAAAAGTGGTATTGCTGGGTCCAAGCGTATGCACAATTTCATAGCTCTTTGGGCATAGTTTCAAACTGCCCTCCAAAATGGCTAGATCATTTCACAACTCCACCACCAATGCATTAGTGTTCCAATTTTCCCACATCTTCTCCAGCATTTATCATTGTCCTGTTTTGTCATGTTAGCCAATCTGATAGGTATGATGTGGTACCTCAGAAGTCATTTTGATTTGAATTTCTCTAATCAATAGTGATTTAGAATATTTTTTATATGACTATAGATAGCTTTAGTTTCTTTCTCTGAAAACTGCCTGTATATCCTTTGACCATTTATCAATTGGGGAACGACTTGTATTCTTATAAATTTGACTCAGTTCTCTATATATTTTAGAAATGAGGCCTTTATCAGAGACACTGGTT